CGATTCGTCTTCATCAAGAATCTCAGCCATCCGAGGTGATTGATTGGAGCAGTCTCAACATCGACCTCACGAGGAGACACACCAATCATGCGTCGCGATTCCCGGTGTTAATGACCTGCGTGGAAATTTTCCGTGCATGTCACAATACTTGACAGATTGAGGAGTAATTAACCTCTATCCCCGCAAGTATTCGTTCACTAGCGACCCTACGGCACATGCTTGGGAGGCGATTCTACCAGAAGCCGAAGCGTTACAAGCATCAGCGTAACTTCGACGATGCAGGAGAACGCCAAGCAACACGAGGTGTCAACAAATGAGGGAGATGCGGACTACTATAACACGATCACGCGCTCTACCGACCGTAAATCGGAGGCACGGATGAGCATACCAGGAATTGCTACCTGTGGATACATTGAGGGGAGAAGCAAATTTCTCTTCATGCCCTCAAATGAAACCATCACCGGCAGCAATGGAGCAACACATGTGTACCAATGCGCACGTGTTCCTGGTAGTTACGCCTGTTACACCCATCATGAACACTCTACTGGGAAGAGGGAGTTGATGGATTCTCCTTCAACCGGTACGAGTTGAGAGAATTCTCTGCAGCAGCTGCCACCGTCGCCATTGTCGCAACCGCCGCCGCCGCCGTAGCAATAGACTCGACACAACAATCACAACCAAATCCTGATGGATGATTCTCCGCTCTATGGAGATAATGCTAGATTATATTCCCGTGGATCGTAAATTCTCGGCCAGGCACAATACTAAGATTTCCAGCTAGTGGGGAGGAGATACCACTATGCGAGGAAACAATAGCTATGGCAATGCCATGTACCCTCAAGAGCAAGAGATATTTGCTCTTATGAGGATGGGAGGACTACGGTACACTACTGGTATACAAGTCCTCATGGCCTATGGCTTTCCTTAAAGTCATAAAACCTGCATCGCAACCAATCCATCAACAGCACTACCTCCACAGAAGCAGAAAAGCGTGCAATGGAGCGCCGAAGCCAATCCGGATAGTGGACTCCGCGTATCTCCAACAACACCCCTATTTGCCGAAATGGAGCAGACTTCAACACCGATGCTGAGTAGCTGAGACTTCTTCGACATCAACACTACTTCAAGGACAGTAACAGAATGAGACAACACATGATGGCACCAGAAGACCTATCCCAATATGTGCACCTAGACATCGATGCCTACCAATGGCCTCCGTGCTAAACTGGAAGTGCATAAGGTCATACTGGATTGGCTGTCACCAATGCCCATTTGGAAGTGGGAAATGATTACTTGGGAACACCCATAACATTCCCAGATGTCCTAACCCATCACCGTGGGATATCTACGCAGCAGAGATTCCTTGCTTGAGCAACCACCGAGGGAACTACTTTGGCGCCGATTCTGGAAGTTACCAGCTCCGCGTTTATGGTACCAACCCCTCGCATGGTTCTAAACACAAGGGATACGCTGAGCACCACTACACACACGTTGTTGTACTCAAGGCAATGTGACTAGCAGTCCGTGAGGTGGACACGGTTACTACTAGTGATTCTGCTCTCCAATCCCGCAGCACTCCGATGCCGAGAGTGTACAACTTGCGACAACACTACGGCATGGACCAGCATTCGACAAAAGCTGCATGTATCAGATACAACGCTGCTACCGAAGTAGGACTATGTTACGACTGCAACGCCACCAACACTTAGTCATCTTCATACATGGACGGGATGCGCGTAACACCAGGATGTGCTACCCGAGACTCAACGCATGCTATAGTGTGCCATCTAGAGCACCCACCGAAAGAACAGTGCATCTACTCCTCCGCTACAACATCTCGATCACGATCAACGCCATCCGCGTACCATCTACAGACGCAACCTACTCACACCACAACAACCGACAAATCCGTTTCATCACCGTTGTCCATCAGCTCTAACACCGGACACGCCACTTGGACATCAGCCATCTTCCATCAAAGCTTCAACCTTGCTTCTGCAGGACTATCATCTTTGAAGCAAATGTCACTTCAGTCACCTTCCGCTTCCGCCTACCGGCCACTTGGAAGATCCATAACGCCTTCCATACCAGCTTCTTAAAACCTATCAAGACCAAACACGCTCTACATCGAATGCCAACCACCGTCGCCGCCCGTGTTCATCCACGCCATGGGACAACTACACTGAGGGAAAAAACCGTCCGGATGTTTGGCACTAAGTTGGGTTTTTAGGCTTTGAGACTACTGTATGGTAAACCTGCAAGATGCACAGTGGTACATATTGGGAGAGGCACAAAGTGGATGCGTTCACTGCACTGAGAACTAGATTAGTACATTGGATCTAACTCATACTCCAAAAGATATACAACGAGTACATCCGGACAGTTTTTTCCTAGGACAAAGAGCAAACTTCCTAACAACGTTTCTAGTACCTAGTCCACCTACTCTTGGCGTTGATCACCATCCACACCCTCCTAGGCATGTTATCTATGTGGTTAGTGCAGACCTTTGCATGAAGCTTCTCGCACTCTTCCTTGACCCACCATTTTGCATAAGGGGGTGAGCACAAGGAAAATTGCGAAGTATTTGAGCGTATGCATAAGTATTGTGCACGAATTCAGATTGAATGTAATCTCTGAGACTAGCCAAGCCGAGGGGTGTCCAAAGATGCCATTAGTTAAATGGTCCCGGCTTATCATGGGTCGTCTTCGTCGTATCGTTCTAGGGTAAAATCACGAATAGAGTGGCAAAATCTAGCATTCCCGCCACGAATCTTAGGGTAACAGAGCACGGTCGACTGAACATCCTTTCACTGTGTGAACCATGTTAAAATACGCGGGTCTAGTGACGGGGCAGCAGTCGAAGAAACCTCGAATGTTTGGGAAGAATATCTGGATTGAGGTCTGGTGAGAAAAAGGGTCACTCCAGCGCAACATACTTATGCTCTCCAAGGCATTCCATGTCATTTTCCCTACCTAGGCTTGGAATGGCTCGGAGAGCATGGATATGTAGCTCTGGAGTGCCCCTCTTCCTCACCAGACCTCAACCCTGATATTCTTCCCAAACAGTCGAGACTTCTTCAACTGATGCACTGTCACTAGACTCGCGGATTTTAACATGATTCTAACAATGAAAGGATGCTCAATCGACCGTGCTCTGTTACCCTAAGTTTCGTGGCGGGTATGCTAGATTTTGCCACTCTATACGTGATTTCACCTTACTCTGATTCGACGAAAACAACCCATGATAAGCCAAGACCATTCAACTAATGGCATCTTTGGACACCCTTCGGCTTGGCTAGTCTCAGAGATTACATTCAATCTGAATTCGTGCACAATACTTATGCATACGCTCAAATACTTCGCAATTTTCCTTGTGCTCACCCCCTTATGCAAAATGGTGGGTCAAGGAAGAGTGCGAGAAGCTTCATGCAAAGGTCTGCACTAACCACATAGATAACATGCCTAGGAGGGTGTGGATGGTGATCAACGCCAAGAGTAGGTGGACTAGGTACTAGAAACGTTGTTAGGAAGTTTGCTCTTTGTCCTAGGAAAAAACTGTCCGGATGTACTCGTTGTATATCTTTTGGAGTATGAGTTAGATCCAATGTACTAATCTAGTTCTCAGTGCAGTGAACGCATCCACTTTGTGCCTCTCCCAACGTGTACCACCGTGCATCTTGCAGGTTTACCATACAGTAGTCTCAAAGCCTAAAAACCCAACTTAGTGCCAAACATCCGGACGGTTTTTTCCCTCAGTGTACGTGCTCGGACACCGACGTCGTCAGCATGGCACACTGGAGCTTCTTCTTTGCTAGAAGGGTTGTGATCCTTATGAGGCTGCGTCTATGAATTCGATATGGGTAACGCCCGTCGTCCTCTTCGCGACTACCTTGTCAAGTAGGGTGTTCCTTCTACCACCCAGCTTTGAGTGGGGGAAGTGTGAGAGTACGACCCTGTTACACTAATTTCCCATTTCTATATTTCATTTCTATTTCATTCCTCGTTTTATCCTGATTCCTTTGGTCTTTATCTCATCTCTTTTGGTTTCCTATTCCTCATTTTCCATTATCCGTTGGTTTATCCCGTTATTATAATTATATTACCGACCAGGCTCGGGATGTACTGGCGCGCTATATCTAACGTAATCCTGCCATAATCCCTTAAAGCCAATAGCCTCGCGTGGCTATACGCAAGGTGATTCTATTTCTAAAAGGGTCTATTCCTTTTGGATAGGATAAACCTGGTTATCTGATGTACTATGGAAGTATAAAAGCACATTGTACTGATTGATACTGGAACATTGAGCAAACCTCATTCGATCCTGTGACAGGGTCGGCTAGGAGCGATCGCGACGGTTAGGGGGCCGGCTAGGAGCGGGCGCGACGGCCAGGGAGGCAGCTAGAGACGGGCGCGACGGCCAGGGGGGGCCGGCTAGGGACGAGCGCGACGGCCAGGGGGCCGGCTAGGGACAGGCGCGAACGACCAGGGGGCCGGCTAGGGACGAGCGCGAACGGCCAGGGGGCCGGCTAGGGACGGGCGCGAACGGCCAGGGGGGCGATTAGGGACGGGCGCGAACGACCAGGGGGCCGGATAGGTACAGGGGCGAACGGCCAGAGGGCCGGATAGGGACAGGAGCGAACGGCCAGAGGGACGGCTAGGGACGAGCGCGACGGCCAGGGGGCCAGCTAGGAACGTAGGGGCGGAAGCGTGAGCGGGCTAGGGGGGGATCTAACCTACTATGATACCATATCAGAAAGAAAATGATTGAACTAGAATGTGTGTGTACAATGATATATAGACTAGGGTGTTGTACCCTCTAAGGCACAATCCAGTATAGTCTACAGTAACGACCTAAGTTACATTTGACAAAGAGATGAGATAAGAAGAGAGAGGGATACAAGGAGGGAGTTGTACCCTCTACATCAGGATCCAGCAAGACCTACCAAGCCTACAATTATATATATATATATATAATTTAACACCAAAAACATGATCAGACTCTCGCGTAATCATACCGGTAAAAGTTCCATGTTAGGTATTTTCTTTCAGGATGTAAATTTAAAATGATGGCAACACTTTCTAGGTGAAACTGGTCCTGGTGATAGGCGAAAACGGTTCCCAAAAGAGGTCGTTGCTGGGTGTCACTCTTGCCAAAGGGGCCTTTGCCAGAAGGGGCCTTTGCCAAAAGGGGAGTGCAGCATCCTATGCCAAAGGCGTTCCTGGGGTGGCTTCGAAACCCAACCTACCACCATTTACACCAGCAAAGGTGACCCTGGGACAGACCTGCCACCATTCCCACCAGCAGCAGCAATTGAGACTGACATGCTTGAACCTTCACCACCACACTGCATCGCTCTGAAAGCTGCTCCAATACACTACAGTACTCTTATCTTCATCACTACAGTACCAGCGTTCCTTCCCATCTCCTCACCCACTACCTCTGTACCGCTTGGTACCTCTTCCAGCCCCCCATGCATCTGTGAATTCCTGAGTAAGCCTCTTGAACCGGAAGCAAGCCGACTCCGCAAACTCGACAACAGATTCCTCAAACTCGGCGCAAACAATCTCAGCCCAGTCCTGCATGACATCCTCGAAGTCAGCACACACGTCCTCCAACACTGCCGCACTCAGCTCGTCTGCCCTCATTGCATCGTCAGCCCGCATAGCATTGCCTGCACTCGGCTCATCGGCCCTCATAACATCATCTCCCCTCATAACATCATCTCCCCTCATAACCTCATCTCCCCTCATAACATCATCTCCCCTCATAACCTCACCTCCCCTCATAACCTCGTCTGCTCTCCCTGGTGAAAGGGCACGCCCATGCTCTCCCCTTAACATCCGCCCCCTCTCTTGCCATGGGGATTCCAACCGCCCTCCCCCAGCTGACACACCATCAGGCCCCCTCCCTGGTGAAAGGGCACGCCCATGCTCTCCCCTTAATACCCTTTCCTTCTCTTGCCATGGGGATTCCCGCTGCCTTCCCCCTGCTGACGCACCATCAGGCCCCGCCGTTGCCGGTGAGCGTGCGCCCTCATACTCCCCCCGTAACTCCGTCTCCCTCCCGCGCCATACGAATCCCCACTGCCTTCTCCTTTCAGCCAGCCCACCAGTCCCATACGATTCACGACGCCCATGAGACCCATGAGACCCATCAGGCCCATCAGGCCCTGCCATCAGCCTGCCCGCTGGCCCACCAGGCCTGTCATTCCGAGTGTAGGGAGAAAGCCGCCTGTAGTGTGGAGCAAAATAGGGAGCTGCCGTATTCTCTCCTGCTGTAGCGGGAATTCTCTCTCCTGCTGAAGCACGGGTGCCTGCTCTGGCAGCAGCATGTAGCAAGAGAGCGGAGGTACGGCCTTCGCTCCGTGTCACCACAGCATCCATCTTCACAAACCATTCGGGCAGTTCCTGGGGGATCTCAGCCGTTCGACTCCTCGACATTAAGATCTGAACCGTTGACCGTTTCATCCGGGCCGTCCGCTCCAGCTGATCCCGCAGCTTATCGTAATTCCCTCTCAGCCGTAGGATCTTGCATTTGATCGCGCCCTGCGAGTGGCGGAAGCCGGGGTGCCGCAGCACCAGCAAGTGACGCAGCTCTCGGTGGTAGTTGGCCACCCTTGTACCGCGTACGGCAGCGAACTTAGCATCCAGCTCAGCATGACCTTCTAGAAGCTGCCGGACCTCCGTGTCCGTCCAATACGTTAGTGCCTGCAGCTGGGAGGCTCCATTGGCTTCAGCCGGGCTTTGTTGGTCGCTGATGGGTGCCTGTATCTGGGCGATTTCATTGGCTTCACGGAGCGGCGATGACGAAGGGGGCTCCGTGACGGGATCATTCGCCCCGTTATAAGCTCCCCCGCTATAAGCTCCGCCATGTCCTGCTGCCGTTTCTCCTGACGCGGCGCCGCCTTCCGCCTCGGTTTGCGTCCTTTGCGGAGATGGCGACGGCTGGCGAAATCGGCGAGGGGAGTTCGTTGGAGGAAGGTCCGAGCTAGGGTTCGCTCCGCCTTGAGCTGCTGCTGCTGCTGATGCTGCTGCTGCTGCTGCTGTTGCTGCTGCTGTTGCTGCTGCTACTGTTGCTGCTTCTCTCGAAGGCGCGACGTCCGCATCGCTGTTAGGAATGCCTATAGCCCGCGGAGGGGGGTCTAGGATAGGGTTAGCTCTGTCAGATTCTGCTGCTACTGTTTCGCGTGAAGGTGCGACGTTGGTGCTGTTACTAACATCAGCCGTTGGTTGATCAGATGCAGCCATATCAGCCGTTGGTTGATCAGATGCAGCTACACCAGCCGTAGATTGAGCTGTAGGGTTATCAGATAATGGGCCTGGCTGCATGATTTAGACCGAGATATCTGAGCAAGTCGAAGCAGGATGGTGGCACGAGGTGCTTGAGTTTGCGACATCAGTCGGGTAAGAGTAACGATTCTGGCGTAAGTCGGCTAAGGGTATCGATTCCAGGAGTAGCTAGGAGTAACTTCGGCTGGCGAGGGATGAAGGGTAAACAAGCGACAGGTAATCCTGGATATGGGGCGTGTCCTGCGCGTATGTCTGATTGCGGTTGGGTGAGATGCTCGCTGAGTCAGAACGTTGGAATAGCGATATCAAACGGTTTATAAACATATGCATCGGACACCGTCTTAGGGCGTGTACATTTTCCACCAGAAACCCTCAAGGTCGATCTTTCAGGTTGGAAACGGTTTGATGTGTTCTATTTTTTGTGTGTGGTACAATACGGTAGTGTTCGAACCAAAGCTGTTCGTGTTAACTGCTATGACGTGGTTACATGCTTGAACCTCCACCACACTGCGCCATATTGAAAGCTTTTGCAACACAAAATAACGTGCACAACCCTTCTAGAAGTCTTAACCTTAGACCTTTCCCATGTTCGAGCCTCATCAACTCAAGACAACAAGCCCGAATCTCACATTTACGCCTTGAGCGTCAAATGTAAAGCAATCGAAGAGGGGGTTACCCGTTTTTTGCAAGGCGCACCCATCCTGAAAGGTTAGCAACAGGCCCTCTCGCAAGCACACTCCGAAATGTAAAGCAGATGTGGAGTTTGTCCGCAAACTTTTTGTCATCTACAAAGCTTTCAGCCAACTTCGCCACTCGCTCACCAGTCATATCTATCCACCCCCGTCAACTGCTTTACGTGAGGCTTTGAGAGCTTATAGGATAGGCCTTCAGGGCTCTGAGACTAGGTTAGTCCTACATATGCCTGTTAGCTCAGAGCTTTCAGTTCGACATAGCGATTCCAATCAACGTTTGTAGCCCGCGTCCGTTGAGCTGATAGCCCGCTCTAAACGGAAACATGCGACCGAAGTCGGAGCCCGTGTCACCACCCGACCGTAGCACTTCCCTGGTTGGAGTACGCGACGCTGGTCTAGAAGATCCCATTCGGTCTGGTCCACTTTCGCCTGATGGTCTTCACCCCAGAGAAGCCGCCGGTTCTCTCGGCGAAACAGCAGCAAATAGTGGTGGCGGGGTGAATAATAGTAGTTCTGCCGCAGATAGGAATTCCACACATGGTAATTCTGTCAGTAGCTCCGAGCTCCGAAGGGAGTCCGTCAGGCCAAACTGGACCGACAACGAGATCCGTCAACTCATTCAAGCTCACGCGGAGCTTCATCCGAATTTCGTCTCCAAGCGCGGCCGTCGTGGCTCGAGCTACTACAGAGCGGTGTATCGGCTGCTGCGAGAGCGGTACCCCGGCCTTCGCCACTCGCACGACGCCGTTAAAGCCAAGCTCATCTGCCTGAAAGGGGACTACCACCGGCTTCGCGGCCGGCTGGGCCGTTCACGCGTCATGGCGACTCCGATTCGCGGATTGCCTGATTGGTTTGTGGCGATGGATTCGGTGATGGGAGAGAATCCAGGTAGGTACTGTTAACGTAGAAACGAATGATTACTAGAGGTGGAAACCTAGAACAAATACTAGTTGGTTGTACTCACTAGAAGCATACCTCAGTCTAGCCTATAACTTCTACATAGATAATATGTATAAGTTGACACACCCCCTAGGCTAGACAAGGGGTGAAACTAAACAAGAAGCAAACAGCTCAGGGCGGCACTACTAGTCCAACCACTGAGGCAGGGGTCTGGAGACCAGTCAGCAAGAATACAACCAAAACTGAAGCAAGCCAGGGTGGCACTACTAGTCCAGCCACTGGAGGTAAGGCCACAAGGCCAGTCTGACAAGCATATATAATAGAGAGTACACAATCAGGATCCTAACAGGGGAGCAGCTATAGGAACAAGACCAAGCTGTACACAGTGCCGCTGATGATCTTTAGGCGCAAGCGCCTTAGTAAAGATATCAGCTGTGTTGGCACCTGAGGCCAAGTGAACTACGCGGGCCTGGCGGCGCTGCTGTAGCTCGCGCAGGAGGAAGTACCGCAGCTGGATATGCTTCGCTCTGCCCTCAAGCCGAGGCTCCTGACACAGGAGTATCATGGCCCTGTTGTCAGCGTACAGGACCGGGGCAGAGCTAGGCCGCTCACCTAAGTCTGTGAGCAAGAAGGTCAGCCAACGGAGCTCCTGTGCCGCCATGGCACCAGCGTAGATCTCAGCCTCACAGCTAGACTGAGCCACAGACGACGAGCGAGTGGATCTCCAAGAGATAGCACCCGAACCAAGGCTGAAACAGTAGCCCTGCGACGACCTGAGCGTCTCAGCGTCGTCTGCCCAAGAAGCGTCTGTGTGCCCAGTAAGGACCACTGGCCTGCGTCCTCCTAGCACTAACCCCATGCCTGATGTACTAGCAAGATAACGCAAAACCCTCTTAGCGGCAGACCAGTGCTGAGGTCGGTGTCTGCCTGTAGCCACAAAGCGAGCCAGGATGCTGAGAGGGTATGCGAGATCTGGGCGAGTGCAAGTCATCAGGTACATGAGGCAACCCACCAGCTCTGCGTAGGGGCCACTGGGCTCTACTGGCTCCTCAGGAACGGGAGCAGAGAGCCCATGGTCTACGGGTAGAGGTGTGGGCTGTGCGGAGGAGAACTGAAGACCGAACCTCTGAAGGACCTGACGCACCAAGTGTGACTGGGTCAGAGTGATGGTGCGTGCTGCTCTGTCCCTAGAGATCTGCAGGCCAAGATAGCGACGCAGCTCTCCAAGGTCAGTGCAGGTGTGTCTCTTCAGCAGCTCAGCCTTCACAGAGGCCAGTGCGTCCCTGTCAGGAGTAGCGAAGACCAGGTCGTCTACGTAGACAAGGATGTAGAACGGAGTCTGGCCGGAACGCACAAACAGTGAAGGGTCAGCAGAGGACGGAAAGAACTGCAGGTCTGCTAACGTGGCACGTAGCGTGTCGTGCCACTCGCGAGGAGCCTGACGCAGGCCGTAGACCGGGCGCCTGAGAAGCCACTGGGTCCCAGGAGGGAAGGTACCAGTGAAGCCCTGTGGTCGGCGCAGGTAGACCTGCTCGTGTAGGCTGCCCTGAAGAAAGGCAGTAGAGAAGTCGAGAGAGTGAAGCTCGTAGTCACGCTGTGCTGCTACGTGTAGCAGCGCCCGAAGAGTGGTCATCTTCGGGGTCGGGGCGAAGGTCTGGAAGAAGTCAACCCCCTCGCGCTGACTGAAACCTCTGGCCACGTAGCGCGCCTTGAAGACAGGCGGCTCTCCAGGGGGGCGCTTCACCTTGAAGAGCCACCGACCATCGACTACGTTCACCCCAGGCGGGGGAACTGCGTCGACGTAAGTGCCGGTGGATCTCCAAGATGCCATCTCCTGCTCCATGGCAGCTATCCACTGAGAGGCCCAAGGTCCCGAGGTGGCCTCAGCGTAGGTGCGAGGGGTCGGGATGTCGAAGGCGTCTGGGTCACCCTCAGGGACTAACAGCATGGAGCAGAGATGGGGAGCAGCCTCGGAAAGGAAAGCCAGCTCGTACTGCCTGTCCTCTAGGACGTCACTGCCAAGGGCAGGAGCACCCCCGACGGACAGAGGACGGGCAGGGTCAGAGACCAGAGCGGTAGCGTAGTCAAGGCGGCGGGTAGAAGCGAAGTCAGCGACAGCAGCGACAAGCGCGTCAAGGCGCGAGACAGGAACAGCAGGGTCGGTAACAAGAGAGGCAAGGACCCGAGGGACAAGGGGACGAGCAGCACGGAGGTAGTCAGAGAACGGAGGAGGTGCAACAGCAAGGGACGAGGGAGGAGGGGACGGGAGGAGGGGAGGACGAGACGAGTGGGAACGGAGCAACATAGGGTGGGTGGGCAGGACAGGAGAGACGGGACGAGCACGGGAGGGACGGCGAGCCCAAACGTGAGACGGAGGGGTAGGGTCAGGGGACAGCGGAGGAGACACAGGAGGGGAACGAGGAGGAAGACGGGCCGGAGACAAGTCTGGCGGCGGGAACACAGGACCGTAGACAGGGAGGTCAGGAGGCGGTGGGGGAGACACCGGCGCGCGGTCCGGGGAGGGAAGGCCGAGCAGGCGGAGAGCGGAAACCGGCGGCGACGGCTGCTGTGGCGGCGACGACGGCTGGGCCGGAACTCTCGGACCAGCAGAGGCAGAACGACCGTCGGCAGAACACTCAACAGCAGCACCCCCAGAACCAACACCCCAAGAGCGAGAACCCCCTCCAACACCAGCGGCACCCCCAGAAGCCGCAGGACGAACACCCTCCTCCACACCAGCACCCCCAGGGGCCGAGAGCAGCGGCGGCAGTGGCGGCGACAGCGGCGACGGCTGCGGCGGCGACGGCGACGGCGGCGGCAGCGGGGTCGGCGACTGCGACAGTGGGGGCGGAGGCACTGGGGAAGGGGGACGCGGCAAGGACGGACCGGGGGTACCACCAGAGTCAGCAGACTCCTCAACGGGGACAACCGACGGGAGGGGAGTGACGTGGGAGACACCAGACGGGGCAGGACGAGGCGGGAGAGGGGCAGGGGCTACCGGGGGAGAGGGAGCAAGGAAAAGGGGGGGGGCAACTGGGAGACCTCGGTGAGGGAAGCGGCGGTAGAAGGAGACGGACTCGTCAAAGGTGACGTCACGAGAGTGGAGGAAGCGGTGAGACGGCGGGTGGTAGAAAAGCCAGTCAGACGAGTCCAGGGGGAAACCGAGGAAGACACAGGGGACAGTGCGGGCAGTGAGCTTGTCCGTGCCAGAGGCACGAACGTGAGCAAGGCAGCCCCAGACGTGGAACGCAGACGCGTCACCGGGGGACCCGGTCCAAAGGAGGGTCGGCGAAACCTGCGGCCGCTGGGAGCGTGGCCACAGGTTAAGCTGGTGAGCCGCGTAGCGAACAGCGAACGGCCACAGAAAATGGGGGGCATCGGCATGGATCATGGAGGTACGGGCGACCTCCATGACCAAGCCGATGCGGCGCTCAGCAACCCCATTCTGCTGTGGCGAGTCCGGCAACGTGTACGACTGGGTGATGCCCTCCGCACGACAGAACTGTCCAAGCCGACCAGAGGCGAACTCGCCGCCACGGTCGGAGTGGAGACACAACACGGGGAGACCGCGGTGGAGACGCGCAGCTACAACCCACG